ATATATATAAGAAGTAAGTAGTTATTATTATCTATATATATATATATATATATATATATAGTATACTATATATAGATTGTAGTGTAAGTATTTTAATGTTGCCTTTATATAGATTGTAGTGTATTTTAATTGTTGCCTTTATATAGATTGTAGTGTAAGTATTTTAATTGCTGCCTATATATATAGATTGTAGTGTAAGTATTTTAATTGTTGCGTTTATATAGATTGTAGTGTAAGTATTTTAATGTTTTTTTTTTCAAAACTGTGTCTTACAATGTAGTTTTGAAAATTTCACAATCTAAAAATGATAGAAACACTAAATCAAATCAAGTGAATTTTTCAAACTGAAATAAGTGTAATTTAGTTAGTTGTATTCAGTTTAATGAAATTTGGTTAAATATTTCTGATGTAAGAAAGAAACCAGTAGGTGTCAGTGACCCAAAATTTATATAGTGGTAAAATAGATAAGTGTTGTGTACTTGAACAGTATTGAAAAATACTCATTTTTAGATATGAAGATGGTTATCAGTATCAAAACATTTTTGGGCCACTTGTGAAGATGGAGGCAGATTATGACAAGAAGTTAAAGGAATCCCAGACTCAAGATAACATTGAAGTGAGATGGGACATTGGACTGAACAAGAAAATCATTGCTTATTTTACCATTGCCAAGTCTGATACAGGTATCATTAATTAATAAAATACCAATTTGGTAAGTGTTTCTAATTAGTTGATAATTTTTAGATTGACATTTTAATAATAGGATTATAATTTTTCAAAGTCATTAGGTTTCTTGTGGTAAAGTGCCATCAGGAAAATTTACTAGCCCAGACTCATTTGTGTATGAATGGAGATCAGAAATGTTTATGGTATAATCCTTATAATGTGTTGCTGTGATTTGTAAAATGATTTCTTTTTTTTTTTTCTTTTAAGCTTACACTGATAAGCAATGTTGTGACAATTGTTTATTTTTACACAGAAGTACATTATATTGAGGTAAAAGTATCATAAATCTAGACTTTTATGTTTATGATTTTGACAGAACCCTTTAGTAGAAGGTGAAAAAAAAGCTAACTGCTTATGTGTATATCATATCAGAGGCAGTAAAATGGTAGGGGTTCCCTCTTGGAGTCATCAATTATAAATTTTGATAAGTTTCAGTATTTCCAAATTTAACTCTCTTGCTACAGGCTCGGTATAACTTCAAATATGTTTTGTGTATCTTCACAAAATTTTGCAAGCTTTCAGTAATCATTAAGAGTCATTTATAGACAAAAATCAGAATTTATAAGTAAGTATTTTTACTAAAACTTCTTCATGAATATACGGAGTCAGTGTTGACTGCTCTGAGTGCAAAGTAGTTTTCATGTTAAGATTAAAAGTACTTTTTTCATCTTAAAAGCCTGGTGGTTAGGGTGCTTGACTCTCAATCTGAGGGTTGCGGGTTCAAATTCCTGTTTCACTAAACATGCTCACCCTTTCAGCTGTGGGGGAGTTATAATGTGATGGTTAATCCCACTATTTTTTGGTAAAAGAGTAGCTCAAGATGGTGGTGATGACTAGCTGTCTTCCCTCTAGTCTTACACTGCTAAATTAGGGACGGCTAGTGCAGATAGCCCATCGTGTAGCTTTGCCCAAAATTAAAACAAACAAACAAAGCAATCATCTTAAAAATCTCAAAACTCATTTGCATAGTCTCTAAAACCTTGGCACATCTTGGCCCCCACTATACTAAAAATGCTACATTAACTGTACAAATTTTCTGAAGGGAGGATACATCTGAACACTTCTAGTGTTTGAGAAGCTCAATTAAATTCCAATCTGGTCACATTCTGATGCCTATGAACTTAGTTTGAAGTCAGAAAATATATGAATGGTTATAAACTGAAATAATTAACTCTATTGCTATGGGCTCGGTCAGTTTGGACCAGTTCTTCACTCCAAATTGACCTTGGTAATTTCCATACAACAACTTCTTATATGTTTTGTGTATTTTCATGAAATTTTGCAAGCTTTCTGTAAGCATTATAAGTCTTATAGACAAAAAATCAGAATTTTGAATGAAGTGTTTTTTTACGGAACATTTATCCATGAATATATGAAGTCAGTGTTGACTGCTCCAAGTGCAAAGTGATTTTCATTTTGAAATTAAACATACTTTTTCCTCTTCTGATAAATATCAAATTTCATTTCCATAATTTCTAAAACCTCCTAAGTAAAGTTCAAATGTTTTTTTTCAGTAAAACTTTATATTTTGTCTGTTACTTTCTCTACCATAACTCCATATAGAGTCAGTCATCAATTTGACTGACCTTGTAACTCCAATAACAAATATGATATCTAAGTTACACTTTTTTTTTTCTAGAATTACTTCAAATTATAACAGGAAATTAGATTTGTTTGTCCTAAATGGCTTAAGTCTTGTAATGATATTCATCCATTTCATTTTATTGTTTTATTGACCTTTAAACTGTTTCTAATTAATAATCCTGTCACACAAGTTGTAAATCATTTTGTGAAGGTGTAGCTCATGTTACATTATTGAATTACATAATGCACAAGCTGCTTGCAAGCATACTTTGTGATAAAGTTATTATTATTATTATTTTTCTTTATCTTACTAATATAAAAGGTTTCCTATTTTCATAATGTAGTTACCTTTATAATAATAAAAATACACATGAAAAACAAGAGAAAAAGTACTTACCTGGGTTATCTTTTTGTGCTGTCAGTTGTCAATGAAACTTAACCCTACTCTTTTGTACTAATGGTACTCCTACACTAAATGTTTTTTTATGTAATTAAATAATGCATCTGAGAACACAGAAAAATAACAAGTAAAAATCAGACAATGTCATATGACTATAATAATATTTCTGGCTTTCTAATTATGTGATAAAAGCCATTAAACTTTCAGCTAATCTTGTCAATATGTTTCCCATGGGAATAAAGTTTGAACTGGAAGCAAAATAGAAAATTCTCTGTATAAAAAATAATGTGATGTGATATGTCATTTGATATATTAAAAATTTGGCTTTATGTTGTTTATAAATAATGTAGTATTAAATATCAGAGAGAACTATGCAATTTGTTAAAGAGAGGATGTGACAGTTGGGTGTGGCAAGTGGGTCTGATTTTCTAGCTTATAGCTCTGTAAACAAATAAGATTGAAGGCTATGAAATTATGCTTTGCCTAAGTAATAACTGTATTATAATGAGTAATTGAAATTAAATTCTGTGCTTTTCAGAGCAGTGGTAAATAAATAAGAGAAGAGGGAAGACCTTGAGAGCAAATGTCACAATTCATATACTAGGGGAGATTGAGGATTTTTAAAAATATTTCCTTATTAAATTAAGAACTTAAAACTTATGTTTAAAGCTTGATTTAGTAACTATGTTTTGATGCCAAGTTTATTCATATACCATGATAATAAAGTAGTTTAATTAAGTTTGGAATGTAACTCCATAAAGACTTGTAACTTGCACTTTGATCTGCCCATAATTTTCATAGATATGCAGCCTAAATATGAAAATATGCATGTAAAGCACAAATTACTTTAATCAAATATGAGCACTACTGCTGAAAGTTATAGTTGATTCTTTAAGTACAACAAAAATTTTTGTTATAAATGCACATATTACTTTAATCAAATATGAGCACTACAGCTGAAAGTTACAGTTGATTCTTTAAGTACAGCAAAAATTGTTGTTATAAATTCTGAATGCATTTTTTAATAGTGTGGAAAAATTGTTTTTGCTCTAAACATTGTTTATAACTTTATATAGTGAAGGAATATTTTTCTGAATTACTATATAAAGATAATGTAGGCTAGTAATAAAAAGCCCAAAGTTGATTAGAATAGGTATACATAATATTGTTGGACCCTTACCAGATCACTGTTTGAAATTTATCACTTGCAAAGAGCAAACTTATGCTAACTTTTGATTTTACATTTATTATAAAGTTAAAATTTTTAATATGCTGTAGTTGATTTTAAATTGATCTTAATTTTCCACATTTGTGCAGCTAATTACCACTAAAAAACAAAAAGGCCTTTTGTGATATATAATTTCACCAAGAAAAGCATGCTCTGTTATAGACAAGGTCCCTTTGTAGGCATACCTTTTAAATTATTTTCTTTTGTTAAGTGTGCATGTAAAAATAATATTTATTTTCATTTTGTGTATTATTATTACAAGCCTATTGTACACAAAATGTCAGAGTTTTTTAGTTCTTGATAAGGGTAGGTACAAGTGTGCATACCATAATCTTTTTCACAGGGTTGCATTAAAATTTTAATTAAACTACTTTATTATCAATGTATGTCAATAAACTTAACATCAAAATGTAGTTAATAGATCTAATTTTAATATTAGGTATATTTTAAGTTCTTTATTTCAAAAGGTTATGTCTAAATAAATTTTTTGTCTTTATTTCTCTATATCACGTGACTACCCCTTTTTGAGCTTCTGAGTCTTAACACAAATTCATAGTATAGCTAATGCTAAGGCATAATCTAATTTCATAGTCTCCAGTCATCATGATTTACAGTGTTAAACCAGGAAATCAAAACTCAAATACCAGGCTCTCCTATCACATATTGTTTTTCAAAACATTCTCTGGTGCTTGTTAATACATTATTTATAACTAACAGAAAGAGAAGATTTTAATTTACTAAATTACATAATAGATTAACTTGTTCTGATCACAGCTTTTGAATTATTCAGTCTACAGATTCAAAGTTGTTATAGCCTAGTTCATCTCAACCAAGTAAGGGAAATATTTAACGCACTTGTAGCTTATTTAAAAAGCCAGTTGAATTTTAATAGTTATATGATATTGTATTATTTGTGGGTATTATTATTATTTTGTGTTCTTAACTGAGTATTTGAAATAAATAAAAATTCAGTAAATTACTAACAATAACCTTACAAAAAATTGGAGTAAACTTTTATTAAGACTTTGACTGCAGAAATGTACAACACCCACACATAAGTACTAAATTCCTTGTTTTTCATGTGTATACTTTTTACATATTGTTGTAATAGTAACTAAAACACAAAAATTATAGTTGCTAGGTTTAATAAAGGACATAAATAGAAAAAATATTGTCAGCATGAACTGTATGTGCATTAAGTCAGTATTTTGTTTTAGTATAATTCAAGCTATTTGTTCACTACGTGTGTATAGCTTTGTTACACGTGTTTAATAGTTAGACTTGGTTCAAAGAGCAATAAAACAATGAAATTAAGTAAAAACAGTACTATTACAAGTCTGAGGATGTTTAGAACAAATAATTACAATATTCTGTTACAATCTGTAATCATTCTAGAAAAAAAAATTGTATTGATTTATTTCATAATTTTATTGTGATGGTTACAGGGGCAGTAAAATGGACCAAGCCCATAGTGTATTAGGGGAGAGAAAATAACAAACTACAAAAGTTATTGAAAAAAAGCCTTTTGATATTTGTTTAGTGGGTTCTAGAGGTTGTGCAAATGAAATTTGAAAACTAGGATGAAATATTATTTTTAATGTTATCATGAAAATCACCTTGCACTCAGGCTAATCAGAGGCTGAGTCAGACTATGACTCCATATATTCACAGAGAAATCTTTAGTAAAACTAGTTTAAAAAAAATTTATTTTTCGGATACAAAGCTCGTAATATTTACTAAAAACTTGCCAGATTTCATTAGAATACACTTACTA